CAGTTTCTTGTTATTTTCTGTTTTATATATTTTTTACTATAAGAAGCTTCAAATATTCGATTGAGTCAGTCGGGACCCAACCCACACACCATTTGGTTACCCAAGTCGTGTGGCAGTTTTCCCATTTGTTCAAATACACACCATGTTTCTGAGGAGTTAAAAGGTGAACATTGTTGCATGGGAGAATTGAGGTGGATGATTATGTGGAGAAGTTTTAATAGTGTGTGTGTGTGTGAGGTGTCTTCGTTTTTGTTTTTTAGGTTTTATTAATATATTTTGGGATTTTTGTAATAATTAACCTTTGTTTATTTTTGTGTGTAACTGATACATCACGTGTGCATGTTGACGAGGTATTACAAGGTTTTTAATGAGAGCTGGAGTGCTAACTAGTTAGTGAGTTAATGCGACACTAACCGTTCGAATCATGGAATACATTGAGGAGTTTATCCAAATGAGTTGTTCACGCGATATTAACCTAGTAACTAGTTAGTATATGATAGTGACAACTACCACATCATTATGGGGAGTGATTATACAATACCACGGCAGTAATGGCAGCATTAAAATTATTTGTCACCTTCAAATTATTTAGCATTATGGGAAACTTAAGATATTGATATAGTTCCAATTTTATTGGAAGAATGGAAGTTCAAAAGAAACTGCAGTGAAGTTGCTGACTGCATGCACATCAACTAGTAGGACGCGTCCATCATTTTTTTTTTTTTTTCCCATTATGAAAAGAATAATATCCGAGAAGTAAGGACGCGTCCTCTCTCTCTCTCTCTCTCTCTATATAAAGATTAATTAAAAAGGTATAATCACCACAAAATCAGAATTTTGGTTCTGCATTTCTGGATCTCTCTGTAAGCTCATCTACTTCTTCTCCCTTCTTCAGTATCCCAAATCTTCTTTCCTATAGCCTTTTCTTTTTGTGTTTGATTTGTATCTGTGTATTTGTAAAAGAGAATTTCACAAACAATGGAGCTTGAGCTTCAAGGTCAACCCGGTTCCAGTGGATCGGGCTCCAGCGGATCGCATGTGGTTAGCATCCATGATGAGGAGCTGCCCAGGCACACCGGATTTCTTACCCCATCTTTTGTGAACTACAATGCCTACCACAAGCTAAGGCCACCACAGGTATACCTAGTACTGGTCAAAACTACTCAAAGTCAACTATGCATATTTGTCACAGCTTTTTGTTTTGCATTTCTTAATTTATGTTTTCTTTCGCACTCTAACGTTTGAATCATAAGGATAAAACAAAATAACTGAGTACACCCTACTATCAAATTATTTATTAAATTACTAATTTATCATAATATAAAATTACCAAAAAGGATATTTTGAATTATGAAATAAATGTAATTTTAATAAGTACACCCTACTCACCATATTCAACTCTACTCAAACATAAACGAAAAACCCTACTCCAAAAACTCTGTTATTTCCTTTTATTGACAATAAAAAGATTAAAAAACCTCCAAATACCAAGCGAGTTCATACGTGCTTACTTGGAATTGAAACTGGAATTCGGTAATTGTGTATTGAAATTCTAAAAAATTGAAGAAAAAACCCAATTCAATTTGGGTGAAAACTAAGAAAATAAAGATTGAAACTTTTGGGATTTGAGTTGAAGAATCTGCTTAACTGGGAAAAATAGATAGAAACCCTATTCCATTATGTGGTTGAGCAAGGTACATGTGCTAATTCATTCAAACTCGAATAAGGGAAAGTGATGTAGAGAGAATTCAAACTCGAATCCGGTAAACATCATTTATTCAATTAAAGAACCACATGGCAATGGCGAATAATAAATCACAGAGAAAACAAGGGGCTTTCTACTGCCTTTGAATCAAAGCTCAGCCATGATATCCGAATAATTTAGTATGCCACTTGACCTTGATGAATGCTGTTATCAGATTCGAATGGGTTTGCTGCTATGTAATAGAGTGGATTAGGGTGTATTCGGGGTATTTTTGGTAATTAAATAGGGTGTACTTAGTTAATTTTACATTTTGATTTAAATATTATGGTATACTTAGATCATAGGGTGTACTCAATTAATTTTGGTAATTAAATAGGGTGTACTTAGTTAATTTTACATTTTGATTTAAATATTAGGGTATACTTAGATCATAGGGTGTACTCAATTAATTTTAGGGTTCGTTTAACAACACTCTAAAACTAAAATGTTGCGTTCTAATGTTTAGTCTATCGACGGTTTGAACGGTCTTGGTTTGCCTTCAATGAATTTTTAACGGTCATGATTAGAGTCTATATATGAGAGTGTGCTACAGTATGCTCGAGCATGATTCTAATGGATTATTTATTAGTTTAGGATTTACGATTGGGAGTTCAGAATTTTTCTATTTAAAGTCTTTCTTATTGTGACTTTCAATAAATTTAGGATCCGTTTGATAACCATTTCAATTTTAGTTTTTATTTTTTATTTTTTGTGCTAGAATATAGAGAAAAAAGAGGGAGAATGGAAGTGAGGATGAGAGGGAAGATGAGATGGGAAGATGGGAGGGAGTAGTTACAAAAGTGAACAAAATTTAAAAACTGAAATCTATTTGAAATAGTTTTCATTTTCAAGTCGTTGTTTTCACTTTTGTTACTCCTCCCTCTCATCCTCTCTCTCAATCTCATCCTCACTTCCATTCTTCATATCATTTTCCTCTATATTTTAGCACAAAAAATAAAAAATAAAAACTAAAATTGAAATGGTTATCAAACGGACCATTAGGTTATGAGATTGAACTTTGATTTTTCAATTTTTTCTTTTTTGAAATTGCGCCCATGATCTTTTTTTTATTCTTGCTTCTCAAAGAAATTGCGCATTCCTTAACAAAGGTTTTGAGCTATTGGCAAAATAAAAACAAAAAACAGAGGTTTTGAGCTAACACTTACTTATTTGGGTGCATGCATGTGAGAATTACATGACCCAATAGCTGAACAATTAATTTTCTCCCCCAATTTTCTCATATTGTAGGTGCCAATGGATGTGAACGAGGACATCATGTCTAGGTTACAAAAACAAGTAGATGACTATTACAATCCAAAACAAAAACAAGTAGACGACCATAACAAGCCAAAGCGCAGGACAAAGGTAGTGATATCAAAACTCATAGAAAAACTTTACCTACATCGGTTGCATATCCCCGCCCCGCTCTCTCTATCTCTCCACACGCAACCTCCTTGCGTTATCCGTCGCATGGAAGTTTTGCTCTAAAACTCTTTCTTATTGTTTTTATTTGCTATATTTCTTGCTAGATAAGATATCTTTGAATAGTAAATGGCCGCTTCATTTCTTTTGCAGTTTATTTATTCAGAGAAGTGGATCTTTTTCCTCGTTAGCCTTGGGCTAGAGACTATTTCAGCTTCTTTTGATCAGCTTTCGTCCCCGAGTAAGCCCCACTACGCATTATATGGTATGTTGTTGGCTATTGCGGCCATAATCATTTGCATCTGCGAGCTCATTCACAAGGGTTACACAGAAAGAGTTGAATTCAAGAGGTGGGGAAGGATATGGTGGTATTATCATCCATATCCATCAAACAGGCTTTTTGGTAATTTTCCTGACATTTGTGGACTAGTTCTTGCCATCGCTCAATGCATTTGCTCTGGGGTTCAGTATGATTACCTCCATCGACATGCTAATAATCCTATCAAACTATCCGTTTTTCCTTTCATGTTTCTTTTGTCCTTGGGTATTTCAAGATGTTGTAAAGATTAGCAAAGTAAGGTTAAAGATCTTTGTATTGAGGTACTTATTATTAATATATGTATTTGGTGTGATGTTGGCTATTGCTGCTGTACTGACTTGCATCTGGGAGCTCATTTACAAGACCAAGACCCCAGCGAAGGCTATTTGGTGATGTTCTTGACAGTATGTTTACTTCATTAGGCATCATCAAAATCCTCTCAAAGCCTCCCTTTTGCCTGCCGTCTTCCTTATATGTTTGGGTGCTTCAAGATTGAGTTGTATTCATTTCAAACGCACGAGACCGCTGAACAAAATGACCGAACATGGGCATTTAGCTGGGTTTATGCCTCAACTTCTTGTTGTAGTTTCATTGGTTAGGTATAAGAGTCGAGAGAAAATGCTAAAATGTGCCTCTTATTAATAATATCAGTGTTCTCAAGGAAATTGCAATTACATTTGCTTTGACAACTAACTACAGATGATAGTATATGCACAAGCCTTCACCATCTTTGGACTTTGAAGAGGTGTTACAAGTATTATGAGCTTTGTTGCAGTCAAAACTCATTTCTTCATGAACATCTTGTTGAGGGTCTGAACTGCAAACTGGTAGCTGGAGTAATTTCTGAGACCTTACGCTTGAATCTGAGATTGAGAGTCTAAATACGAGTTCAGAGAAGCTTGACTTGAGCTTATATTCCAAGAGGTGGCTAAACCCACTTGGTGATGAGAAACATAAATGCCAGCTGCTTGGTTCTTTTTTGTTATAACTCAGGCTTTTTACGTTTCAAAGCTACACTGTGAAGAAACAATTTGTGTTTGGTACGCCGTATAACGAAAACATGTTGAACGAATTCGTGAAAACAGAGTCTCTCTTTTAAGTTGGAAAGGAAAACATGAGGAACAGTGTACACCTCTCTTCTGCAATTATCACTTTCATTAGCAACCACAACTCCCCCTTTTTGAATTACTGGATCTAAGTTCTGAAGAAGCTCTATCTTCTCTTCCTCTTGGTTGATTATTGCTCAAACAAGGTTCATTTCCCTTGTATTTCCTTTCTTCTTCATTTTGGGTTGAATCTTTGGCGTTTACTGAAATCTGAGTTTGTTTATAATTTTAAAGTTTATCAATTGTGTACAGATTCTGTTCTTCGATCCTGTTTTTCACATTTATGTAGACAAAATTAATCATACCTATAAATTATTTTAAAGTCAGAAGAAAATAACACAACTATATAGTCCATTATTTGAGCTTTACTTTGATAAATAGCTTGTTGAAAAACAAGTTTTCAATAAAATTTAAAAAAGAAAAAAAGAAACCAAGTTTTCAAATATTAATCACACATTGTTTTCAAGATATCAATTCAATCCGGTAACAAAATTCGGCACATTACAGATTCAGCTAAATAACCAGCTAAATCAATCCTACTTAAATTAAAGGCACTGAAAACTATATCTAAAAAGCCACTCTTGTAAGTTCAGTTTACATGCTGTTGGCAACTCCGATAGCCCTGTTAAGAAGCCCCATGAACTGCGGCTGCAGCATGCATGCTCAGGTCCTGACTCTGTGGCGCAGCATGTCCGTAACCACCATAACCCTGTCCTCCATAATGTGCCCCATTCCACTGGTTACTTGAATCAGATCTCCACTGCAAAATCACATGTAATTAACGATGAGAAAAACCCAACTGAGAGACAGACAGACAGACAGAGAGGGGTTGGGGCAGGGCGAGCAAGGTCCAGGGATTCTACATGCTCAAGTGGCTGATAATTTACCCTAGGGACAATTCATTCAACTCTACGAGAGGTTGGCAGTGGGGCCAAGCAAGGTACAGGGATTCTACGTGCTAAAATGGCGGATAATTTAACAAAGGGACATATCATTCAACTCTAACATCGATCAGAAAACTAATTGTTAACATTGAACTGCAAGAAGAAAAGGGGGAAGGGGGATATTTGTGGCGCTTTAATGTTGTACAGCATAAAAGAAATGAAACCAACAAATGACAAGAAAAATACAGCTATAATTCAGGGATAGATATCTAAATGTTGCAACACCCGCATACAATTAACATGACATAGTTGACAAAGTATTACCTGCTTGTTCCCCTGACTGCGGCCCCAAGAAAGACGAACTGTTTGCTTTCCAATAACCGTTCCATTCAGCATCTGCATTGCATTCTCAGCATCCTTCCTACAAACCGAAACAATGTGAAGGAGTCCATCACGCGGCACCACAGATTAAGATTATAGTGGTACTATCTACCTCCTTCAGTCTTCAACAATTTTTCATTATACTTCTTATATACAGTTTAATATCTAATAAATGATTTTAACATTGATGCTGAGAGTACCATTACTCCTAAGCTGTAATGACAGGAACATTCCTCATTACAGCTTTATTTCTACATGACAGGACAGGACCCATATATGTTAAACAACAAGAATACCTATTAGCAAACTGAACAAAACCGCATGCTTTTCCGACTGGTATTTTCACCGAGATAACTTCACCAAATTGAGAAAAAGGCTGCCTGAGGTCTTCATCATTGACATCGGAATCAAGCCCTCCAACAAATATCTGCAATAAGCCATAGATTAAAGAGCTATCTAGGTTAAAGATACTGGAAACAGGAAAAAGAAAAAAGAGTTGAACTTACAGTTGTGTTATTGGTCTCGCTATCAAACTGGGAACCTTGAGCAACAGCGCCATTTGATGCATGTCCACCACCAGCTAATACCAACGCTAATTAAAGGGAATAAAGTAATACATTTACTAAAAAATCGTTTTCAAAATTAAGAAGATGTCAAAATAGACAACTGCTTTTTCAACAGTACTGTTAGTAGTTAGTTATTATAATAGGTTTTAGGAGCAGATTTTTCCTTTTCCTTTCAGATAGGGATAAATTTAACAGTGTATTTGTTTGGCTAAAAGAGTCCTATAGCAGTAAAGATTTTAGAACTTTGTCTCTGTTTCTTAATTTAAATCTTATTCTAGCTCCTGATTTCTCAACATGTTTCTCTCACTTAGTAATATGCTTACTACATGAAAGCCACCTGCATGGCCAAATGTGTCCGAGAACCGAAATCCATTCCATGATCATCAATTACAACTGAAGTTAGAATCCAAATGACAACTTGAGTCAAAATTCAACTGGCTAGGTGAAGACCTACTCTTTCAAACAAAAAGGAAAAACTAACTCACGTGAGATGGCATTAGCTTTACTTCTCACTTTGAATCGAACCACTCAATTTTATAAGTTTGACAACTAATTTTAAATTTTAAAATTTTAGAAATTTCTGTACCACAACTTAGTGAAGATAATTTCCCAATATTTGAAAATCTACCAAATATATAAAACCAACACTAAAAACTTTTCAAGATCACAATGGGGAAGTTGCTCCATTCTAAATATACTACACATTACTGGCTCAGCAATTGCATCATTTATTGCTTTCACCAAAGCAGTTAAGAGCGATGTTGAAGAGGGATAAATATTAATGGACGAACATAATCTGATGAGATTCCTGTGCTGTTTGAAAATGAAAGTTTCCAGGAGAAAAATAATAGAAACAACATCAAAAACCACCTAATACTCACACCTTACATCGCAAGACAAGAAGCAAGCATTACTAACTAGCCTAAATTTTTCTTGATGTGAAATAAAAATACAATGTAAGAAAAGGAAAACATTTAACTGGAGGAGGTAGATATATAACTAACTCCATTCTAAATATACTACACATTACTGGCTCAGCAATTGCATCATTTATTGCTTTCACCAAAGCAGTTAAGAGCGATGTTGAAGAGGGATAAATATTAATGGACGAACATAATCTGATGAGATTCCTGTGCTGTTTGAAAATGAAAGTTTCCAGGAGAAAAATAATAGAAACAACATCAAAAACCACCTAATACTCACACCTTACATCGCAAGACAAGAAGCAAGCATTACTAACTAGCCTAAATTTTTCTTGATGTGAAATAAAAATACAATGTAAGAAAAGGAAAACATGTAACTGGAGGAGGTAGATATATAACTAAATGAATTATAGAGAAAAATATAAACAGAAAAAAAAAAATTTAGGAAATGAGGAGCAGGCACAGTAGTCGAAGATACAATTGAGTTGACCAAAAAGTAAGACTTGGTTTGTTGTACGCTCATATTTTTAAGAAGGGAATGGAGAAATCACAATTGTGTAAATGACAAGTACATAACATAAGAAAAGAACCTTTAATTATCAAATGTGCATAGACAATTTTGCTTGTTGAACAAAAATGAGTGGACTTATGATGGACGTGAGTAATCATACAAAAAACCAGGAGCATGATATCATACCTTGTGAAGAATACTGTTGCTGATAAGCAGGTGATTTTTTGGGTGTTGCAACACCTATGCGCATGGGCCTGCTTGAACAATACGCACCATTCATTTCAGTGATGGCCCTTGACCTCTCATTTTCATCACCAAACCTAACAAAACCATAACCTTTTGAACGACCAGTATTTGCATCTAGAACAACTTTCGCTCCCTTGACAGATGAATATCTACTGCCAAAGGTCTCCTGCAACATAGTATCAGTCACATCTGTAGCCAAATCTCCTACAAAGATAGATAGATCAGAACTGGTGTCTGCTCGTCTATCCCCAGCACTGAAGGTTGCCCAGTTCAAACGAAAAGGCTGCTCTGTATTCGGCATTGCAGCACCATTATAGCTCTGCAGAACTTCTTCAGCTGCTTCACGTGAAAAGAACTCAACAAATCCATATCCCTCAGACTGAGTAGTTTGCTTATTGCGTATAACCTTTACTGAGGAAACCTGCAATGTTTGTGACACCAAAAGCACATAGTTAGGCGCAATTTAAAGTTTATATCAAATAAAATACATACAAGAGACAATTTTTTTAATAAGATAGGGGGTCTTCTTAAATTGTGCTTGATTTACATTGTTGAGTCCATCACATTGGCGAAATAAATATGGTAACATGTTTATGTTGACTGTGAACCCAGTTCAAGTTGTGGTATCGCCTTTTTTGTTCTACACATGTAAGGCCCAATTTGGTTGAGATGTGTGGTCATGCACATAAGGGGTACATTGGTGTCCAGTGTTAAGTTGCACTTTATAACTTTTGTTGACCCTCCTCATAGTTGCTAAAAGCAAATACGGAAGAACAGACCCATGCAAATAGTTCCTCAACTACTGCCTTTCTAAATCACTATTGATGCTCTTATTATTTTTAAGACATGGAAATCATTAGGCTCCATATCGTCGAACAACCCAAAAAAGAAGTAACCTAACTAGAAAAAAAAAAGTGAGGAAAATATATTGCAATAGCATTTCATCACATATTGGCAACACTAAACAAGAGGATCTGCAAATTAAACAAGAGATAACTACTTTTAACTACACAACTTGGTAACATACTAGTGCTAAATATTCAGTATCATTTAGCAGGAAAGGACAACAGGCTGGCAATAGACAATTCACCCTTCTGTAAATCAATTACAACTACCAGATAATTGTATATCCAAAATAGTTATCAACAAAAGGATTAGGCCATGCAATAATTGACCTCACCTATAAACCATCTAAAGTAAAGACAAATTCTCAAAACATGGAAGAGGATTTTAACATCACATGAATGGTTTGCATTGAATGGCCATTGCGATGACACTACTACAGATTGGGAAGTTGATCAACTGCTATTACTCTCTATCGGAAAAACACAGTAATAACTCAAACCCTCAACAAGATGGTGGCCATCCACAAGAGGATGCATTTAATTTTCTAAGTTAAAGGTCATCATATGCAGCAAGAAACTTGCTGAAAATCACAAATTGTCAACGATATGCATAGAAGACACGCTGCTGTAGGGAAAGAATGAGTTCCTAGCTAGAGGTTGGAAACCAGCCGCCAATCTACAATCAACAGAGTTGACCTAACTTAGCCACTAAAGAGGCAAATTTGTTCACTGAACAAGTTCAATCAACTAACCAAAACCTGAATCATTTCCCTTATCCAGGTAAGGCATCTTGATATACCAAGAACAATTTTAGAAGTCGGTAGTTGGCATTTACCTTACTCTTTCAATCAGTACTTTACTTCTGAATAAAGGAAAAAACTGCCAAGGTAAGCTAGAATGCTTATGACTTCACCCAACATACAACTATAGAGTAAATCCCGTACTGTTAACCTTAAATCAATCATAGGGCTGTTATCATGTCAAATAAACTAAAACCCACAACATCAACTCACATTTTAAATCCATATTCATAAAAACTTCAAAGCTCTAAACAAACCGAAACCGAAACGGGTTCAAATACAAGTCCATTTTCATTAAAGAGCTGACCTGCCCAGTGTGAGCAAAGCATCCATGAAGGTAAGTCTCGTCCATCCAGTGGTGAAGGTCGCCCACCCAGATGGTCCTGATCTCATCGGTGGGCCCCTGTTTCTGAGAGGGAGACTGCTGCAGCTGCTTCGGCGGCTGCTGCTGCTGCTGCTGATAAGGCACGCCCTGAGGCTGCTGCTGGTAGGGATTGTGATGAGGATGATGAGGATGGGCAGCTGCAGCAGCGTAAGGCATGTAATGCTGCGGGTACACCATCATCTGCTGCTGCATCATCGCCATCGCCGCTGCTGGGTACTGCATGGCCATCCATTGCTGCTGATGCTGATGCTGATGCATCCACTGCTGCTGTTGCTGCTGCTGCTGTTGTTGCTGCTGCTGCTGCTGTTGCTGAGTGCCCAGATCGCCGCCGTTGGATTGCTGGGCCATATTGGACTTGTGGTGGGGTCTGAGCTTTTTACTCTCTTCTTCTCTCTGCACCTCTCTCTACTTCGTCTTCTTTGTACTTCTCTTCTGGGATTTCAAGAGAGAGAGAG